AGAACGTACACTTGGTTGCCTTTGCAGTTAGCAGACGTGGGCTGGAAAGCTGCTTCCTTTTTAGCCTATTTTTCCAACAACGCCCGTATTATATTCTTTGGTCTGTTATGTATATTCATCGTTCTAACTCAATGTGTCTCTGTACGAGGGAGAGATTTCTACACCCATATAATAAATGTTTTTGTTTTCCTTTTCAACCGATGTAAGATTTTACAATTCACTCTCCCTTGGAGACCTGACGTTCTCGTTGGTACACCGCTTGGAATCTAGCTCTGATACCGTTCGTTTTGACTCGTTGCATATTGTCATTAGCTTCACAGTTTTAAAATACATCGACTAGGGAGAGATTTCCATACTCATGTAAGAAATATTTTGTCTCTTTCTAACCGATGTGGGATTTCACAATTCACTCTCCCTTGGAGGTCCGATGTCCTCGTTGATACACCTCTTGAGGTCTAGCTCTGATAACATTTATAACAACTCAAAGTCCACCGCTAGCAGATATCGTCCGTTTGGACCCGTTGCATATTGCCGTCAGTCTCACAGTTTTAAAGTACATCTAATAGGGAGAGGTTTCCACACTCACATAAGGAATGTTTTGTTCTTCTCTCTAACCGATGTGGGATCTCACAATCCACCTCCTGTCTTTGTTAGCACACCGCTCGGTGTTTGGTTCTGATACCACTGATAACAGCTCAAGTCCATTGTTAGTAAATATTGTCCGCTTTGTCCTGTACATATTGTTGTTAGTCTCACAGTTTTAAAGAACGTTTCGTTCCCCTCTCCAACTGACGTGAGATCTCACAACCATACCCTTTGAACTTTGAATGTATTATGATAGATATAGTAATAAAAAGCGTATCAACATGGTTTTGGGAAAGGAATAAAAATGAAAATGAAAAGCTTTACACTAAAGTTGGATAAAGAGGGAAACTTCTTGTTTTTGTGTGCTGAATTCAAACAAGATTTGATGAGAAAATGTATGAAAAGATTAAATAAAGTTGAAAGTATATTAATACTATAGTTTTGGAAATGCATGTGAAGGGAGGTTGTTTGGATATGAGACATGAGAAGGCATAAAGAGGGATATGGAGGACAGTATCAACCTGTAAAGTGCTCACTTTTAATCCCACTTCCAAACATACAGACAAACCCCATCTCAAGTCTATTCAATCTTTGGTCTTAAACCCTTTTCAACGTCGAGAAATTATCGAAAGAAATTATAAAATAAATCTAATATGTCGATACAAAAACTTCTCTTCATAATATAAGAGCCAAAACTCACTGTTAACAGATATCACCGTTTTTAAAACGTATTATAAATTATTTCTAATGGATCTTCAGCTCCCTATGTTATTTGCATATTTCCTATGAATAAGTAAAATGCTACCAAAATAATAACAATAATAAATAAATAAATAAGCTATTTTTGATAAATCTTAGGTTATATAAAAAGAAGATAATAGTTATGCACATTATTCTAGGACAATGTCTTGTTTCAGTTTCAGTTTTTGGGTAAAAACTTTGCAGATTCCCTCCTTACAATAATATTCCTTTCAACTTAATCCTCATCTCTCTCTCTATATATATATATTTACTACATATATATATAGAGAGAGAGAGAGATTTAAAATTCAAAAGTTTGGGAAGTATTGGAGTGGTAGACATATGATTATGGTGAATTGGAGTGACATGCCATTGATGCATTCTTGTTCCACCTCTAAATATCACTCACACAAACACTCGTGAGCCCACACACATCCTTATGTCGTCCGAATCATGCTTTTCCGACTTAAAAGCGTTACTATATGTAGGTAAAAAATGACTTGAAAATGTAAAGCAAAAGTTCGAGTATATGAAATCATAAGTTAAAATGTTAAGAAACAAAGAATTTTTTGAATGAATAAAAGAATTTTTTGAATGAATAAAAGAACAATATGCAAAGTATGAATTCGAGTTTGACTTTGTATTCATATACTTTTGTAACATTTGAAAAGAAAAGAAAGGTAGTAACAAGAGAATAAAAATGTTCAATAAGTAGCATTACTTGAAGGTTGACTACTTGTACACGGATGTATTTTGATATATAAGGGCCTTGTGAGGTCAAATGCCAATAGAGGTTAGTTTACGACCTTTGGTGGTATTAGGTCTATTCCAACTCAATATTTCAAAAAATATATTTTGACCAAACATGAAGGAGAGATACCCCGAAGCTAAAGTAGTTATACCGTCTGTATGAGTCAATCTTGTAAGACAACACATCATTAGAGGTTAGTTGACGACTCTCTTGTAAAACTTGGTCTATATTACCATAGTATCTCTAACAGATATTGTTCGCTTTAACTCGTTACATATCGTCGTCAGCATCACGGTTTTAAGACGCGTCTACTAAGGAGAGGTTTCTACACCCTTGTAAGGAGTGTTTTGTTTAACTCTCTAATTGCGAGATCTCACAATCCACCATGCTTAGAAGCCCAGCTTCCTCACTAGCACACCGCTAAGTGGCTTGTTCTGATATCATTTGTCACAGTCTAGTCCATTACTAGTAGATATTGTTTGCTTTGCCTCGTTACGTATTCGTCATAAACCTCACAATTTTAAAACGCGTCTATTAAGAAGAGGTTTTCACACCCTTACAAGGAATGTTTCATTTCCCTCACAATGCCTCATGAAAAACACATGTAAGAAGAAATGCAGTGAAAGACAATTGTCACAACAATCACCATAAACTACAGACTGTCATAATCATTCAAAACCAGTTCACTCAATAATTAGATCCTTCTCATCGTCGTGCTAAATAACATACTCAGACAAATCACGTACGAAAGAGAAATACTTTAAAATTGAAATTAAACACATTAGATATTTGATAGGCATTACCATTCTAGAATCATGGCAGATATTGAAGTCATCAATTTATGGAAATTTGGAGAAATGGGTATTGTCGTTTCGATAAAACGCTTCAAACTTGTGAATCAAAATTGAAAAATATACTTGAATGGTGCACAAGAACACAAAATTGGTACTATTTGGAGATAGGAAAGTTGAGAGAAATGGGAGTGAGGCCCCTCCTTGTTTCCATAACCTTATTCAATCATACCACTTTTTCCATTATTGAGAGAGAGAGATGGGCTTTCCCTTTCTCAATTATTAATATTCTTCTTCTATTGTCAGTAAGTCTTTGGATATATAGAACATAAGGAACGCATAGTTTGATGTTGAAATTCAAAGCAAAAACACAATGATTGAGCTTTGAATCATATTTTAATTTTCCCCAACTTAAAAACACATTCATTATTCAACGCTCATATTACATCGATCTTATACAACATGGGACTATTACACATTGGGAGCTCCTCCGGCAGCCACGACCGGCGGCGGCGCCACCGTGAAACAGCTGCCTGCAGTTACTTCGTGAAAATCTAAACTAATTGAGCATGTTGGTTTTAAAGTATGGGTATGTAGCGTGCAGGACACTCCTTTGACTCGATTTTACTGCTGCAATTACGAGGAGATGAACAGTAAAAAAACAAAACAAGAGAAAAAAGTTTTACTTTTTTTCACCCAAAAAGATGGTTAAAGGGTTATTTATTACTGCTTTCTTTTTAAGACCATTATTCAAAACCATGAATGAGTTATTCCAATTATTGAATATTATTGGAAGAAACAATTCAAACTCACCGCTATCAAATATTGTTTTAAAATGTATTGGTAGGGAGAGGTTTCCAAACTCTTATAAGAAATGTTTTGTTCCCCTCTCCGACTCACAATCCACCACCTTGAGACCCAGCATTTTAGTTGGCACACCACCTGGTGACTGATTTTGATATCATTTGTAACAACTCAAACACATCGCTAACATATAGTGTTAGGTTTAGCTCATTACGTATCGTTGTCAAAACGAACTATTACTATGTCATTTATAATATTATATTTTCTTATAAATTTGATTATTAGTAACATTTAAATGCCATTTGATAATCCTATTACTATGACAGGATCAATTATTTAATAGCATTTAAAGATGATAAATTATGAAGCCTTAAAAATTGCAAAAACTCAGTATTTTATATTGAATATTTTTATTCAAAAACTATTTTATTCTGAATAATAATAATAATAATAAAATGAAGAATGTTACCGTTGAGGGGCAAGAGTTGGGCAGGCTGTGGATAAAATAATAATAATAATAATAAGTTATTTGATTCATCCTTTTTTTAACACAGAAACAGAGAGAATATCTGTATATTTTTAAAGATATTTATACATAAAATTTTAAATATTTTCATAACTTTATTATATTCTTGACTTTCTTATATAATGTTGAATGTTGATGGGGAGGGTATTTAATTCTATCGATAAACTACATTGACAAACACGAGAAAGTTTAAATCAGTCAGTGTAGAAGTTATTAACTTAGTCAAATTTGATCGGTTTGAAATTTGTTCCCAACATGATACTCTTTATATTCCTCCGCTGCTTGTAGACACTCGTATGGTGGTCATCGATTCTTGAGATATCACAATTAGAAGTGTTTATATGACCTAAGAATCCGACCCAAATCACAAAGGTTAAATAGGTTAGATTTTTGTTTTTTTTTTATTTTTCAATTTGGATGTCATTGAATTTCTAAAAACTCAAAATTTTAATTTAATTGGCAGGTTGACATTTTTTATCAGGTTCCATCTGACCCACTCGAAAATATAGTTAACCAATTATCCTATTTTTAAATGTTTAATAGATGAGATTTATGATTTTTTTTTATTTATTTTTTATTAATGTACCATATATCCGGATGTTTTTAAAAATATTTAAAAAAAAAATTATCCAACCAATTAAATTGGGGTGGGTTGTGAACTGGGCTTGGGCTCGAGTAATCCCTTAATTGGTACGATAATCCTGAAGGCCCAATTAGGCCCAGGAAACCAATCTCTTGTAAGCCCAATATGGGTATGATGCATTCGGGTCCAACAATTTGATCGAGAAATAATAGGGCGAGGGGTTGATTGTTCTCTGATGGCAGAAACACAGGGGCAGAAGAGAAAAATGGCGGGTAGAAGAAGGGAGGGAGATTCGAAGAAAACAGCCCCATCTTCCCACCCATCTTCCCAGTGGCCAGCCATTAAACCCAAGCAGGATCTTCAGATCAATCGCCTCAAAGAAAATGATCTTTTCACCGTAAGAATTCAGATCATAATTGTCTTTGAACTCTCCATCTGTTAATAGGTTTTCATTTTGTTCATCTTCATTCTTGTTCAATCCCTCAATTTCTTCCTTTCTCTGTTTTTCCTTCATCTTTCCCCGTTATCGCTAGTGGATTACTTTTTACTGTCGAGATTATATCGTGAAATGGCTTCTTGACGCAACTTGCAATATTTCTTGCCATACCCATTTCAATTTTCCATTTTCTGAATTCTATTACAGAAAGAAATTACGTAAATTTGATTCTCAACAATTTTCAAATGTTTCTGATAACTAGCTAATTCCATATGCTTTGCTTCAGTACTTTTTGGTGTGGGAATGAATGTAATAGTTGAATCTATGCAGGTACCAAGTTTTTTCGCAAGTGTTGAGTCAAAAGCATTCATCAAGACGGCAGAGTCGATGGGTTTTGTTCATCAGGGGAGCCTCGGTCCTTCCAAAGGAGAAGCTTATAGAGATAATGATAGAATTTCGGTGAATGATCCTGATTTAGCAGACACCATTTGGCGTTCGGGACTTGATAAACATTTTGCTGATATTAAAATACGGGGAAAGGTTGCTGTTGGGTTGAATCCAAATATCAGATTTTACAGGTGACTTCAGCTTTACTTTCTCATCAAGCTACTATGCTTTTAGGGGAGTGTTGGCTCATTACAAAGCTTTCGATACTTATGGATGAATTGGATAAGATTAAGTGTTACATGGATACACATGCTTATTCTTCTTGCCTTCAAGTTTCAAATTATATCAATCTAAGTCGAGCTATAATGCACAGATTATACTTCGTTTTCCTTCTACTTTGAATGGATCAAGCATGCTTATTAACTTTGCTATAACTATCATAGTCCGCCCTTAACAAAAACCTTGGTATAACTATGGTATTTCAGATACAAGGTTGGTCAGCGCTTTGGACGTCATATTGATGAAAGTGTTGATCTTGGAGAAGGCAAGCGAACGTACTATACTTTGTTAATATATTTAAGTGGAGGTTCCAAAACTAAGACAAAAAATGATACCAACAATTCCAAAGATCCTTCTTCTGAGCCTCTTGTTGGTGGGGAAACTGTTTTCTATGGTTGGAGGAATGTCGTTGTGGCTGAGGTGAATTCCCTATTTTTATTTCCAGTTTCTTTGCTCCATTTACTTGCAATGTTCCTTATTATCACTCATGAACTTGCATGAGTGTCACCTTATTCGTCTTCTTGTCTTTCCCTTTTCCTGGTATTTCAAGTTTCTTGCATTTTTCATTTTCTTTGCATTGGTAGGTGGCTCCTACTGAAGGGATGGCTCTTCTGCATCTTCATGGAGACAAATGTTTGCTGCATGAAGCTCGCAATGTTACCAAGGGTGTCAAATATGTTTTCCGTTCAGACGTCATATTTTCTTGACGGTAAGTTTAGGTAATTCTGTTGATTCATTGGTTGAGTTTCATGTTCTTTAGCAGTATTTGTAACCTAGCCTTCTCTTTTCTTCCCTAGTTCCATTTTATTTGTCCACAATTTATATATTTCATCGACTAATACATATAATTGATGACAGGTTGCAGTCTCGACGAAAAATAATTGAATTACTTACACATGGTTAAGATTGTGCTATTGACTTGGTTATCTACAGGCTCCATGATGTCGTGAAAACTGCCAAACAGGTCACTAAGGTATCCTCCTCATTTGATTCAATGTCTAAACACCAGATTTTATATTGTAAAAGAGCTCGTCCAAAGTTGATTTTCTTGCGTCCAGGTTGGTCCCTGGAATAGCTAAAGAATTCAGTGTACCACTACTTGAAATGGAACTGTTCATAGTCTTATAAGCTGTATTACTAGGTGGCTTGTTGAAATATATGACATTTTACTGCATATGCCACTGATATGTGTTGTTTGGTATATTTACCTTCTTTCCTTTTCTGCCAAAGGAATTTTATTTTCTAAATTTGATGTTTCAATCTCATGTGTCATGATTGTAATTCAAAATTTCCATCTTTTTGTGGCTTTTGAATTAGGGTATTACAAAATGGTTAAAATCATTTTTATCGTATTAAAAAACTTAGATTTATTGGTCGGGTGAGTGTATTGTTTGAAAAAACTCTTCTTTATTGAAGAGTTGTGTTCAACAACATGACATTAGAGCGAGGTTGGTATAGGTTATCAAATGTCCTAAAACTCTTAGTATGCTATGTGGTTGCAGCTTTGACTGATTTTCCACATCAGAAACAATATTTTGAGATTATTAGTGAGTATTTTCGTGTCGTGAGTAATCTATGACTCTACAAGTTCTATATCGAAAACTAACTTGTTTGGTATTACTAGCCGGTGAGGATGGAGGAGTTCGCAATAGAAAATGGAAACGGAGTTAATAGCTTCTTTACCAGAAAATTTACCGATGTTGGTTCACCAAATTCAAGTTAACCCTGTCGAAGTTTATACACCTCAAACTATTTAAGGTCAAAGTTGAGCCATTAGTTCTTTCATTCTCCACAATTGGGGAAGAGAAATCCTCACTGTCAAGATTATAGATCCATAGATATTCAAGGGTCAGTCATATCAGGTTCTTTCACTTGGAAAGATGAAGGGATTCAACCCCAGGGGCTGTTGAATATTTAAAAACATGGCCATTTTGTCTCTGATACTGTCTTATTCCTTTACAAAATAACAGAAAAAGTCCGATACAGCAGGAAAATGGTTATTGTTATAGTTGCTATTGTTCAGTGAACTTGTTCTTGCCTCAATCTCACTTTATTTCAAGCAGTATGGATTCAATATTACGTAACTTTCGTTATAAAATTTAAAAAGACTCGTTCTGTCCCTCTCTCTCCCTCTTTCTATCAGTTCACCACCCTGCAATTGAATCTGACATTGCCATTTTCAATAACCCCAACATTACCCAATTTCACCATTGAAGCTGCAAATTCCTTAAAGAACAAGTTCTGATCATTAGCAAACGATTCAACAATCGTTTTAGTTCTTGAATCACCAAACAGAGATTGATCTGAACCAAACACACCCTTCCCTTCCAACAGTCTCTTGTAATACACATTATCAAACGTTGAGGAAGTTGGGTCCAAGAACTGTCCTGCATTTTTGTCCAAATTTGGTTTTGGACATTTGTTTTTCAGAATTTGAGTAAACCCAGATTCCAAAGTTGGATCAGTATCATGAAGCGAGCTAAAGTTGCGAAGTCTAGATTGAAAGGAAGAACAGTGGGAGAACCCAAGCGTATGAGCCCCGGATAGAGCAACCAAGTCTTTAACTTGCAATCCTCTGTTTGCAAAGCTCTGGATTAGTTGAGATACATTGAAAGTTGGAGCTGGTAAGTTGATGGTTTCAGAAGCATTGGAAATCTTCCCATCTTTCCTTCCTTTGAGTACACTCCAATATGGCCCCCCAGACTGCATATTTTTCCAAGACATGAGGAAGGCAGAGTAAATTAACTGAACTTTTGGAATTAATGAGCAAGACGTTTGGAGGGGTAGCGATGATGAGTTACTTACCAGAGTAACAACATCTCTAGCAGCAATGGCGACAATATCAGCACAAGAAACAGAATGTGGGCAAGCAGTTTCAAGCTTGGATTTGGCCTCGTCGATCACATAAAACGACCTTAACGAGATGTTTGGAGGTGCATCTTTCTCTGCCTGATTCCCTGGCGCTGAATCTATCAGCACTGATGCATCGCATCCCTATCAAGTTATAAGTCATGTCAGCAAGGAATTGAAACAGAAGAGAGTAGCAGAAGATGTTTGGAAGATTACCCTTATGAAACAGTCGTGGAAGAAGAGCCTGAGAAGACGGGCAGGGACTTTGGGGTCATGAATGGAAGCATTGTAGACGGTTTGGAGGATGATTTTCTCGGCATTGGGACATGTTTTAGAGTAGTAATTGGTATCAAGAACTGCTTCCGACACACAAACAATCATCATTAGAAACAAGACTGTCGCATTTTTAGCCATTGTCTGAAACATAAAAGCTGCTCCTGATCAGGTGTACTCTACCTTGGTATATTCTGCTTGACAAAGTTTTGATCATTATATGGAGATTTATAAGAGAAAATTAGCTGTGTTCATTGGGATTCATCCTACTATTACTGTACTTCCAAGCCACTCCATTGTGGAATAAGAGATCAGCTGTACTTCGCACTTTTCCTCCTCTCAAACTTTGGGAACCCATTAAGCAACCATGCAAAAGCATCCATAATAATAATTTTTTGTGTTCTTCTACAGTTGTTCTAGCTAGTCCAAGACTCCCCCTCACGGATTGAGTTAGGTTAGGTTGAGTTGGAAAAATCTCTTCAACCAACCCGTAATTTCGAGTTAGTTTGATTGGTACGCTGAACAACTTGAATAGTATTCACAATTCAAAATGCATCATTAACATCATCAGTTACAAACAATAAATATTTTTAATAATTTTATAGTAGGATAGGGTAGAATTCTAGTGTAACCCTATTTTCACTGTGGAATACAAGAAGTTAGAATGGAAATAATAATATATTCATTTTAGAATAATTTAACCCGTTCATAGATGAAATAGAAAACACTTAACTAGATTGGATTAAAGGGTTGATTAGTAGGCTGTGTCCATCAGGTTTGGTGTGTGGATGTGGATGGATGGGTAGATGTGATTGTACAAAAACAATATATTATGAGCTTAGTTCTTATTTTGAAGTACAAACATCGCCGAATGCCGAACGGTGTCTGGGAGACGTGAGTCGAAGGCCAAGTGCTCTAGTCGATCTTAAATGAAGCCTAATCTAATACCTCTTGATCAGCCTAACTCGGATCGTAAAGGAAATCGACGAAATCCTAATTGAAGGGCATATAAACATTCATTTTTCATATTGAGAAAAATAAATGATGCGATTGTATCGATTATAATATTGAGCTATGGCCATAAGCAATCCGTGAATTAAATAAATCTTGCGACTTGAGGAGCCTAGCATCAGCCAATCTAATGTTGACACGTGTAAGTCTGCCACATGACAGCTAGCTTCGATGATGTGGCCCACTCTACCTGACCTAACTCCTTTACAATTTAAAAATAATCCAATAGGCCTAATGTGGGCCCCACCACGCGGCACGTGCATCCCAATATTTTTCCTAACCCACCACCTTGCACGTGGGAACATCTGAGTCACGTGACCAATTTTTCCTAACCCTCCTTATTTACCGTAAATAAGTATTTGATTGATTATTTAATCTTAAGTTTTGCCATATAACCCTATAATTGGATGTATTTATGTGTTTATCATATGAATAAATCGAAACTACATCGAAATGAGAGCAATGTTGAAAATAGAATGACTAAGAAACTCGGAGATTGTATATGGTGTATTGGATGATGAAAGTCCCACATGCAAAATAGAATGACTAAGAAACTCGGAGATTGTAGTATTGGATGATGAAAGTCCCACATGCTAATTAGGTGGGTTCGGTGATGAAAGTTTCCAGGCTAATTGAGAGAATTTCTCTCTCTCCTTGGAATGATGCATGAGAGCTTGAGAAAGTCTATAATTTTGACCAAAGTAAAGTGAGCATGTTAGGCTAGTTTTCAAGCAAATGAAGATAAGTTTTCTGAGCTCTGCTAAAAAAGGAAACTTAGTTCCATTGATGAAGTGAGATATTTGAGTAAGCTCTGTCACCAACTGTTCAAATCTACAGTGTTCTTACTATTACACTACAGTTAACACAAAATTTCATATAAATTGAAACAGAGCAACGAAAACGGCTAACAATTAATTTCCCAAAGAACTGCTTTTTTCCTACTCTTTTTACATTACTAAGTTCTAACACTGCAAACAAGAAGAAGATGATGAAGAAGAAGAAGAAGATGACGAATTTTTCAAGGTTTTGAACATGGCGCTTCAGAATTTGCAGGCTTTGGCCGACCCATTAATTCCAGTTCCTTCTTCTCGTGAATTTCCATTGAGAAATCTCTCAACATTTGAGTGGTACCGATTGAAGACGCCGCACTCGAAGTTGACGGAGCACTCATCGTCACCGGAATCGAACTCTGACAAATGGTAGCCGGCGAAGAACCACTTCCCATTCCATTGGAACAATTTGTTATACCTCCTCTGGCTAGAACCGGCACTACACCCCCGAATTGCAAACTGGGATTTATTGACGACACGAAATTAGATATGGGTCTCGCCGGCACCGCCCAGAGCTGCGGCTGTTGGTTGCTCAACGTTCCCGGAACCATGAAGAACTGCTCTGCAACGCCACCGGCGTTTGCCCAGAATGGAACGATACCGGCGCCGTAAGCTGCCATTGGAGTAATCGGCGTAAACCCCGAGGAAACAGAAGTTTGATCGTTGCCATTGTTGGATTCGGCGTAAGCGTGTTTTTGTCTTCTTTTTCTCGGTGCTTCGGAAATTTCCGCATTTGGCCTCGCCAGAGATGTGGTTGGGATTTTAAGCGTTCCGCCAACGGAAACGGCGATGGCCGGAACGGTGCCTGTTCCCGTCGCTTCGATTATTGCCGGCTCTGCGTGCTCGAGTAGCCACCGGATTGTCTCCCCGTCGGATTTATGGTCGAGTTCTCTGGTCAGCTGAAAGATACGGGCAGCGCAAGCAGCCGGCATCCGAATCCTCCGGCCCCGGCCCTCCACCTTCGTGTGGCGGTCCTTGGACGGCCGTTTCGCCGGTTTCGCCCGCGTCGACGGTATCTGGAATAGACTGAAAGGATGCGAAGTATCCAATCCGTGCTCCGAAACCGCTGTTTGATGATCCGACGGTTGACTCGACAGACTCTCTTCAGCCTTAACAAGATTTAAAGAATCCACAGTAGTTTGGGTCTGGGTTTCAGAGCAGCCATTGGAGGTTCCTTCCTGTTCCTCTTCCTCAACGCGATGGTTTTGATTAGCTTCCTCCATGTAAAACCCCAAAAAATCAAAATCCAAGCAAAACCCAGAAAAATTAAGATATAATCACAG